CTTATACCTGTAATGGCAGCACTGTGGGAGGCCAAGTTAGGTGGATCACCTGAGGTCAGAAGTTTGACACCAGCCTGGCCAAGATGGCAAAACCCCATTTCTACTAAAAATAGAAACATTAACTGCATGTGATGGCAGGTGACTGTAATCCCAGCTACTCAGGAGGCTGAGACAGTAGAATCACTTGAACCTGGACGGTAGAGGTTGCTGTCAGCCAAGATCATGCCATTGCATTCCAGCCTGGGCCACAAGGGTGAAACCCCATCTCAAAAAGATAAAAAAGAAAGAAGGAAAGAAAACTTTGTTAGCATCAGGCCACAACAAACACAGCTTGAGGGAAGAAAACCTACATGAGCTGAAAATGAGTTGAAGGTGAGCATGACTATTCTGCACCCTTTAAAGGGGAAGAGAAAACCGGAAACAGGGAGATGCAATAAAAGCTGAACTTTCAGCTAAAAAAAATTATAATCTCTTTTAATTTATTAAAAGTAAAACAATCCCTTAAGAAAATTTTATTTTTCTAACTAATTCTTTAGTGTGTAAATCTTTTTTTACATCACACCCAATCTGTAGAAAGGCCATTATAATCTTCATTTAATTATAGATAACTTGATCATACGAAAGGTTTTTATTTAAATAAATCCTCTTATTTTGACTTACGTGGAGCGTTCATGACATGCTTAGACTTTCTGCTTTGCCCTAAACATCCCTCTTTCTGAAACAACCAGTCATTTCATTCTAGGACTAAATTTACCATACAAGATTATTTCTCTTTAAACTTTCTTACCAAAAACTAGCTCCTTATTGCTATACTTTTCTTTACACCTCTCTTATTTCCTGGTTTCTTTTACCTTGTTTTATACATAACTCTTAAATAAGCTTTGAAATAGAAAACACTTTTCACCTTTTAAAAAGAACATTTTTTAAAAAAGAAGTGTTTCTCTACAATATATTTTTTACTGAAAAATATCTATTACTTAATTTAATATAACTTTACGTTATAAAGTGTGACAACTTTGTCTACAAGTATTTATCCATTACATTTACCTAATTATGTTATTTAATTGTTTACCTGGATTATTTATGAAAACTGTAACAATCATCATTTACATTTATGAAATTTGCCATTGCAAAGTTCTAACTGAGATAGTGGGAAAGGGAAAAAAATGAAAACAAATGAGATAGTGGGAAAGGTCTGAGCTAACCGACTTCATCCTGCTTCTAACCTCCAGGCTGTCCTTATTCTTTCCTGGACTTGGGGAGGAACTTGGTTTTCAGTCCAGCTTTGAAACAAAGAAGGTAACAATCCTTTCCCAAAACAAACCTCCTTATAGCCCATGGACTAGGCTGCCTGAAGTCACAGGGTAATTTTCCTAAATAATTCAAGATGTAATTATTTTTATTAAACCAATATCCATGTCTTATTTATTAAAATTATGCAAGCAAAGATGATTCTGTTTTGGGCTGGGTTTGTAGTTTTGTAACCTCTATGTCAAGCTTGGACACCTTATAGTGTTTGGCAGGGGTAAGTATGGAATTGCTTGACTAATAAATGCAAACAAAATGTATGCTGGCAATGCATAGGATGTTTCTGATATTACTTTGCCAACAATTTTAAAGCTAGCTTATATATTAAAGGTTTTACTTACATTGTATAAAACTTGAAAAAGCATTTGACTAGTTTTTTTTTCCTGATAATATCAGATGCAAGCCTTTTTCTTTTCTTAAGCCAGTTAATTAGAGCTCTTTCATGTATTTTCAGAAGCGAAACATCGTGTACATAGCACATATATGGATGTATTAGACCTGCCAACAGAACTACATCTTACAGATTCACATCCCTCCTTGTTCTCATCTTAGACTTTTACATTTCTGACAACCTGCGCCAATAGGTTGTATCAATTCCTGATAACCCTACGCAGTTGTCAGCTACGTGGTCTTAGACTTGCATGTTTGAGGAGGGATGGGGGACCTCCAGGCAGCTGGGGCCAGTGGGGTCGCCCTGCCTCATCCCCTGCTCCCCCCGCCTCCGGCACACATTATAGCCTGGCCTCTGTGGTCTGGTAATGTAAATAGTCGTGTTAACATGAGCCTACAGTGTAGCCCAAGAAGCCTCCTCACGGCACAGAATGAGCCGGTTGGCTTTTTGCAAGGCAGACGTTGTGTGTTGTGGGTTGAACATGCTGAAGTACATACTTGAATATACGTGTCTACTGAGTGCATATGGAAGCTCTAACGCCTGGGACTTGTGAGTGTGATCCTATGTGGAAATGGGAACTTTGCGGATGTCATTATGTTATGATAAGGTCACTAGGATGGCCCTGTTTCCACATGACTGGTGCCATTACAGGACTTGCAGGACAAGAAGACAGACGCAGACACATGTGGGGACGGGGCTGTGATGGTGGCGGCACAGGTCAGAGCGATGCCGCCTGTGAATGAAAAATCCACCCCAAATCACAAAGCAATAGGGAGAAGTCACGCTGGGAACGGTGTAGGACAAAGCTGCCTCCCATTGGACAGGCAGAACTCAAAGTCCTCCCTCTGCTCCCGTGAGACAAATCAAATCTGGTAGCTTCTTTTGCCCTAGTTTTTCACTAAGTCAGACTAAGTCATGAGTGACTATTCCTGTAAACAGCATTCAGGGAAAGGCTAATCAGAAACTCAAAAGCATGCAAGTTTGTCTCTTATCCACCTGTGACCTGAAAGCTCCTCCCCCTCCGAGTTGTTCCACTTTGCCAGACAAACCAGTGTGCACTTTACGTGTATTGATCGGTGTCTCCTGTTTCCCTAAAATGCATGAAAGCAAAGCTGTGCCCGACCCCCTTGGGCACATGTCACGAGGACCTCCTGAGGCTGTGTCACGGGTGCATCCTTAACCCTGGCAAAATACACCTTCTAAATTGACTGACACCTGTCCTAGGTACATTTTGGTTTACAGGTCACGTGCCCCAGGATACTGGAGCCAAGAAGCTGGAAAAGACAGGAGGGCCTCCCCTGGAACCTGCGGAGAGAGTGCAGTCCTCCTGACACCTGCATTTCCAGCTTCTGGCCTTCAGAACCGTGAGATAATCTATTTGTATTGTTTTAAGGCCCTCATTCCTTGGCCATGGGATCCTGTTTCATGGAACTGGTGCCGTTTTCTGGATCTGCCCGACTGTCAGGAAGCCCCGTGGGTCAGGCTCCAGCATCTGAGCACCTGCTTATTTCTTCTGCAATCAGCTCTTCTCCACGTGGTGATGGGGGCTGAGAAATGGCTCAACCAGAAGCTTGAAGAAAGATATTTCCAGAGGCACAGCACCAAAACAGGGTGGCTGGTGGGCTGGCACTGGGAGAGGGGGAGGGCACAGGAAGGGGGAGGCATTGCCCCCTGAGAAGTCAGCAGACATCTGAGGCTGTGCCCCCGGAGCCAATTAATGGGGAGTCCTCGTTTGAACCGGGGACTGTGGAAGCCTGGGAGACCTGGAGCCAATGCCTTCCCTCTCTTCTCCCCACCAAGGACCCTCCAGAACCTGGGTTGGGTTGGACCTGAGAGACCTGTCTGTCTCTTCAAATGGAAGGTTCTGAAGCCCTTGTCCTGGGGGGAAGACTGTGACAATAATTCAGGATTAGTGGGGAATGACATTGAGTGTGTCCCTCATCCCAGGGCATCCCCGTCCCTGTAACAGGAAGGCTGGGGACGGACGGGCACGTCCCCTTCTGCCCTTGCTTCCTAGCCAGCGTGCCCTCCAGCTCCCCTGTGGCTCTCCAGCCGCTCTTTGTCCCCACCCGCCCTCCTTCCATCGCTGGCTGTCTCAGCCCCTGAATCAGGGCCACTGGGTTAATCACCCGGGCCCCATAGCTGTTTGCTCCTCTTTTAGGAATGTGATACTTTCCAAAATCACTCTGTAGATAAAAAGAGCCACTAGGATCTGTGTGCAAGTACGATTCATAATCACCTGTCAAAGGATGGGCTCGGTTGATTGAGGGGCTGCTGAGCACAAAATCTGGGGGGTGGCCTGGTGTTTGGAAGCACAGGCAGGATTCCTGTTACCGTCTTGAGGCAGAATGGCTGCTTTTCCAGGGACCCTCACTTTTTTCTCTTAGACCCTCCCCATTATGGAGGGCAAAGTGCTTTCCTGAAAGTTGAATGTTAATCTCTTTAACAAAATACCTTATGGGCAACACCTGAGTGATTGTTGAGCAGAGTATCTGGGCACCATGGCCTGGCCAGGGTGGCATGGGGTCACCATCACAGGGTACACTCCCACCCATCACCTGACCTGCCCAGGTCACCATGAGCCATGGGTCTGTTATTGAGGTCCTGCCACAGAGCTGCCTGAGCTACCAGGTGGGACTGAGTTTGTGGCATCATCTTACAATGAGCATTTGGTTCACACAAGCCCCAGTCTCCTCCAGGGCAGCTGGTTCAGGAGGACAAAGTGCTCCTGGGGGGACCCCAGACCCAAGCCGGTGACTCAGAGCCACCCCTGTAGGATGCAGCCTTCTCAGGGTCCCGGGACCTCCCTGGAGGAGAGCAGACATCCCAGGTGGTCCCAGAGCTTTTTCACAAGAACCATCTCAGCAGGTGGATGCTGGGGTACACAGAGACCCTTGGGGGACTGTGGCAATTAAAGAGCCAAACTATCCAGGAGGCCAGCACCCCCTGCTGACGTGAAAGGAGCCCATGCTCATGAGGAACCAGGCTCTGTAGAGAGACGTGGCACAGAAAGAACCCAAGGAGACACAGGCTGGGGGGTGGGTGTTTATTTAGAGGATTAAGGGTCCAGCTGAGCTTTAGCAGATAGAGACAACAATGGGAGCATTTCAGCGGGAGAGTGGGGTCCATGGGAGAGGCCACAGATCTGGGCCTGGCCGAGTGTCTGCGCCTCCTGGGCCTCCCTGAGCTCCAGCACTGGTCGGGGTGGACGGGGGAAAGGGGAGCTCTCTGAGGAAGAAGGAAGGGCAGGGCAGTATGGCCCCAGCAAGTGGGGTGAGCTTTGTGATGAGCAGTGGAGGAAATGGCTCACCCCAGGATTGCCAGTGTGATGGTGCGAGGCACAGGGTGAGTGCATTTCTAGGGCAAACATGTGGCATGAGCTGGGAAGCTCTGTTCCCGATTCCAGGGACTGTCATATTCCAGAGAAGCACAACTCAAAACTGCATCACAGGTCTGAGATACAGCGTGGCCTTCATCTGAGATCTGGGGCCAAGCATCAGATCTTGCACTGGCAGCACACGGGGACACAGCAGCTGCACTGGGAACAGCAGGGCTTGCAGCAGCTCGACTGGCAGCAGGATGACCCACAGCCTGAGGAGCAGCAAGGATTGCAGCAGCTGGACTGGGAACAGCAGGGCTTACAGCAGCTGGACTGGGAACAGCAGGGCTTACAGCAGCTGGACTGGGAACAGCAGGGCTTACAGCAGCTGGACTGGGAACAGCAGGGCTTACAGCAGCTGGACTGGCAGCAGCCACAAGAGCCACAGCCTCCCTTAGAGGCTCCACAGGAGCCACAGCCCCCCTTGGAGCCCCCACAGGAGCCACAGCTGGAGCAGGAACAGGCTGGCACACAGCAGCACACGGGCTTGCAGCAGCAGACAGGCACACAGCAGCTGGAGCCACAGCCCCCACAGCTGGAGCCACAGCCCCCACAACTGGAGCCACAGCCCCCACAGCCTCCACAGCCCCCACAGCTGGAGCCACAGCCCCCACAACTGGAGCCACAGCCTCCAGAGCAGCCACAGCAGCCCATGGTTCTGGTGGGTCGAGGGTGGAGCAGGTAGAGGAGCAGATGAGAGGGAGGTGCAGATGTGGAGCCCCCTGAGCCCGGGCTCTTTATATACCGGTCCAGGGGTCAGGTGGGCCACAGGGACCTTTCCTGGTTCTTATTGATGTTTTCTCTGTAGGGAACTTGTGTGTCATTTAAAATAAAAACACTGTGTTGCCTCGTGACCCACTTCCTCCTCCTGCGTTGTTTTCCTCTGAAACCTCAGGGCCCAGGTCCTCCCCTCTGAGGACCCCTGGAATGAGCGGAGCCTCCCCCGGGTGCGGCCCCTGCCCTCACACCCCAGCCTCCCGCCACTGTCCCAGAGGATTCACCTTCAGTTTCTGTAAGTGGTGTCTTTGCCTTGTGTTTCTATCCGTGCTTACACTCCGGGTCTTCTGGCTCTGGAGTGAAACGCAGCATGATCACGATCTCGTTCACCAGGTCTAGGGGCAGGACGCTGCTAGACAGTGTCTGCCCCTCCTGGGGTTCTGGAGAACCCAATTCCCCAGGCTCCGGCGGCCTGTGACCTCCAGACTATTCTGGCTTCCTCTGCCCTTCGGGCTGTGCCCCCCAGGACTGTATCCTGGCCTCTCTGCCAGGCGAACGGGCACTGGGAGTTCCCTTTGCTCTTCTCCTCTCCGCCCCTGCTCCCTGCAACCCTGATCTTTCTCTCAATCCTCCCTACAGGTGTGGTCTGGGGCTCCTCCCAGCGCTCCTTCCTCTCCGGCTTTCTTGGTTGACCACAGATGCCTCGTGGGGAGGTCCTCAGCTCTCCTGCCCGGCTCATCTCCAGAAGGCAGCTCCTGGCTCTGTCCCGGGGCAGGAGCCTCACGCCCTCCTGGGGTTCTGGCCCACCGCCTGCCATGCCCCAGATTTAGGCACTTCCTGTCGAAACCCTCAAAACAGAGCCTTGGGGAGGAGGCGGCGGGTGGTCATGGACCAGCAATCCGGGCATCTGGGAATCTTGTCTGAGGTGCCAGCCCTCGGGCATGGCTTCACTTTTCCTCCGACGTCCAGCAGGCCCCTCCCTGCCTCAGTGCAGTTGCCCCCCTATCCCAGCAGGCCCCTCCCCATCCCAGCACGCCCCTCCCTGCCTCGGTGCAGTCCGCCCCTCCCCATCCCAGCAGGCCCCTCCCCATCCCAGCAGGCCCCTCCCTGCTTCGGTGCAGTTGCCCCTCCCCATCCCAGCAGGCCCCTCCCTGCCTCGGTGCAGTCCACCCCTCCCCATCCCAGCACACCCCTCCCCATCCCAGCAGGCCTTGGCAGCAGCCACAGCCCCTCCTCTCTGGGAGGGCTCAGCTCTGTCCTGAGCTCATTCCTTGGAGTTTGTGTCCTTGCCTCCGGTGGGCTGTAAAACTCTCTGTGGCTTCGTGGCTGTTTTGGGGGTTTATCTGGCTCATTTCAATTCATGTGATAAGAGCGATGGTCCCTGGTGACGTTGTGTGTTTGAATCCTCTGTTGTCACACGCACACATGTGCACACACACAGTCACACAGACACACACTGACACATAGACACACGCTCACACACACTGGAAATTGTATTACAGAAGGGAAAGGAACACCCACATCTAGATGGAACTCGCCATGTTTCGTGAACACGGCTGGTCGCCAACCCGCTGTGGCTACGGAGCATAGACAAGAAGGGGCCCTTTGGAGACGCTTCTCAGAGGTGGGAGCTGCTCCTCGGTGATCATTCTGTTACCTTGACTATTCTCACTCGCCTAATGACATAGCTCATTAAAGAAATTGATGTTTAAAATGTCTGCTTTTAAATGTGCTGTTTAGAAGCGAACACACGCACACGTAGAAATGAATGCGGACGTGTAAACAGGAGGATATGTGGACAGGACCCCGCAGGCAGCAGAGAGAGGAGATGGGATCCAGGGTGGGAGAATTGCCGGGACGTTGGTTTAGCTCCAATGACACTTCCAGGATGAAACGACAGCGACTCCGGTGAGCAGGCGAAGGGAGAACAGGCCTTCCAAACTCAACAGTCAGACGACAACACCCCGATGTGAAGCGCACAGAACATTGGAATCTTTTTCCAGGGAGGGTGAATTAGCGGGTACTGCTCTGTGAAAAGATCTCAACATCCCTGGTCATTACAGAAAAGGAAATTCAGTTTCTCTGGTTTGCCTTCTCGAAGGCGGTCTGTTGGGGGAATCGCGTGAGATGGATCTTCTGTGCCAGGCTTCTTCCACTGGGGATAACTTGTTTGCGGTCCATCCGTGTTGTGACATTATGCGGTGTCTTTTTTTTGAGACGGAGTTTCGCTCTTGTTACCCAGGCTGGAGTGCAATGGCCCGATCTTGGCTCACCACAACCTCCGCCTCCTGGGTTCAGGCAATTCTCCTGCCTCAGCCTCCCGAGTAGCTGGGATTACAGGCATGCGCCACCATGCCCAGCTAATTTTTTGTATTTTTAGTAGAGACGGGGTTTCACCATGTTGACCAGGATGGTCTCGATCTCTTGACCTCGTGATCCACCCGCCTCGGCCTCCCAAAGTGCTGGGATTACAGGCTTGCGCCACCGCGCCCGGCCCAACATTATGTTTTATTCCTTCTTTGCTGACATCGTGCCCTTGTATGCACCGACCTCACGTGTACATTGGTCAGCAGCGGACACTGGCGACCGCTCCACTGTCTGGCCTCTGTGAATCTGCTGCTGTGGACGCGGGTGTCCAGATCCCTGTGGGGTCGTAGGCTCTCACTTCTCCTGGGTAGATGCCAGGAGTGAAACGATGGGCCGCATGGTAAATTTACATTTAACTTTTGAAGAAAGCGCAGCACCGTTCTTCAGGTCGGATGGAGCCTGACTCACCAGCGATGCCTGAGGGTTCGCGGTTCCCTGTTTCTCCACGTCTCTGCCAGCGTTTGTCATCATCGTCCTTCAGGGTCGCAGCAGTTGTAGCGGGGAGACTCGGAGGCCTTGTTTAAATTTTCAGTTTGGTAACGACCAGGGATGTCGAGTGTCTTTTCATGTGGCGGTGCCCACGCACATATTCTCTTTAGGACAATGTCTATTCAAACACTTTGACCATTTCATTTTGGTTTTTTGAGACAGGGTCTTCCTCTGTCACCCAGGCTGGAGTGCAATGGCAGGTGTTGGCTCCCTGCAACCTCAGCCTCCTGGGCTCACAAGATCGTCTCACCTCAACAGGGATTGCAGGTGTGAGCCCCCGTGCCTGGCCGATTTTGTCCATGTTGAGTTGGGGTGTCTGTCATCTAGTCGTGAGCCTGAGAGGCCCATTCTTCCTTCCCCTGCTCTCCAGTGTCCCCGTTGTCTCCTGGAACTCTCAGTGAACCCACGTCCACCGTCACACCTCATCCTCCCCACAACAGATTCTGTCTCCTTCTCTCTCTCTTGCCGTCTGGGTCATGCGGGCATGAGTATCTTCCAGTTTACCAAAGCTGGATTTATTCGCATCTAAACAACACTTTAATGCACACACGGACATTTTAGAAATAAGTTTAATTATTTTTTAATAATTTTTTTAACTTTTATTTTAGGGTCGGGGTACATGTCCAGGTTTATTACATAAGTAAACTCGTGTGACCGGGTTTGTTGTACAGATTATCTCATGACCCAAGTACTCAGTCAAGTACCCAATAGTTATTCTGCCTGCTCCTCTCCTTCCTCCCACCCCCACCCTCAGGTAGACCCCAGTGTGTGCTGTTCCCCTCTACGTGTCCGTGTGTTCTCATCGTTTCGTTCACACTTAGAAGTGAGAAAGTGCGGCATTTGGTTTTCTGTTCCTGCGTTAGTTTGTAGGGATGATGGTCATAGATGGCCTCTCGCTCTGTCCATTTCCCTGTCAGTGACATGATCTAGTTCTTTTTTGGGGCTGCAGAGTATTCCATGGTGTATGTGCACCAGGTTTTCTTTATCCAATCTGTCACTGATGGGCACTGATGTTGATTCCATGTCTTTGCTGTTGCCAACAGCACTGCAGTGACTTTGTAAATGGGCCTCATGCCCTGCACTCTGTTGCGCTCATTTCTTGGGCTTCACAGTTGTGTTGAGCTTGTTTTTCATATGCTTGTTGGCTGTACGTATGTCTTCTTTTGAAGTGTTTATTCACGTCCTTTGCTCACTTGGTAATGGGGTTGTTTTACTCTTAGGAATTTGTTTAAGTTCTTTATAGATATTGAGTATTAGACATTTGTCAGGGGCATAGTTTACAAATATTTTCTCCCATTCTGTAGGTTGTCTGTTTACTCTGTTGATAGTTTCTTTTGCTGTGCGGAAGCTGTTTAGTTTAATTAGGTTCCTCTTGTCAATTTTTGCTTTTGTTGCAAAAAAAAAAAAAAAAAAAAAAAAGCAACATGTCTTCGTTGGTGTCTTCATCATGAAATATTTGCCTGTTCCTATGTCCTGGATGGTTTTACTGTGGTTGTATCCCAGGTGTTTTATAGTTTTGGCTTTTATATTTAAGTCCTTAATCCATCTTGAGTTGATTTTTATGTATCGTGTGAGGAAGGGGTCTAGTTTCAATCTTCTGCATATGCATATGGCTACCCAGTTGTCCCAATACCATTTATTGAATAGGAGTTTTTTCCTATTGCTTCTTTTTCTTATCTTTGTCGAAGTTCAGATGGTCATAGGTGTGTGGCCTTATTTCTTGGCTCTCTGTTGTGTGCCATTGGTCTACATGCCTGTTTTTGTACCAGTACCATGCTGTTTTGGTTACTGTAGCCCTGTAGTATAGTTTGAAGTCACGTAGCGTGATGCCTCCAGCTTTATTCTTATTACTTAGTGTTACTTTGGCTTTTCAGGCTCTTTTTTGGTTCCATTTGAATTTTAAAATCGCTTTTTCAAGTTCTGTGAAGAATGTCAGTAATAGTTTTATAGGGCTAGCATTGAATCTATAAATTGCTTTGGGTGGTATGGCCATTTTAAGAATATTGATTCTTCCCATTCATAAACATGGAATGTTTTTCCACTTGTTTGTGTCATCTCTGAATTCCTGGAGCAGTGTTTTATAATACTCATTATACATAAATTGATTTTTAAAATCAATTTCTCTTTAATGAGCTGGGTCACTAGGCTGGTCAGAATAGTCAAGGTAACTGAACAGTGAGAAGCAGCTCCCACCCCAGATAATCACCTCCAAAGGGGCCCT